ATGTTACTACCAGTTAATTATTGTAAGCTATAGTTTTACCGTGGGCCGCCTAAAGAAATGAAGCAAACGATGTCCTTCGGACTTCGAGTGTCGGCTCTTTCCCGCTAGCAAGCTCCGCCGAACAGATGGTTATGCTGTGAAATACAACGGCACATGGCAAAATGGGGGAACCACTATGGGAACGAAACACTCCCAAATTTTTCCTATGCTTACAGTCTGCTTCTTCGCTATTTTCCGACAACAAGAGTGCAGGCATCAGGGCAGAAATTAGCGAAACAATAACGGCAGCTAAAAAAAGATCCGCTATTTTCCGTAAGTGCCACAACGCTTCTATGGCAGTGCTAAGGCTGATTTTCTTCTGTGAACACCGAAAAGCGTCTGTTATTGTAATCCGTCCTTTGGTAACATCGACAGAAAAAAAAAAAGAAAAGAAAACAGCTGAACATAGTTACAACTACAACAAATGATAAGAAGCAGTATTTGTAAAAAGATCTGAAGAGGGTCTCCAGCTACTGTATTTATGTAATAAACGCGTTGATAGAGTGTGTATGTGGAATATCTCTTGTTCTACCCATCTAATATTTCTCATTGAAATGGCTAGATAGCTAGCGATAGCAGCGGCAACAGCAGTGGCAGAATTAACCCACTCTCACTGCCTGCTGTTTCTTCTAAGTAGCAAGAAGTCAGTTATACGAAATAAACCCAGTCTGGTTGACTAGGGGAAGGCATAAAATTCTCCCTGCAAAAGCCCGGTCGGCCAGCACAGTAATTCTCTTCTACTTCTTGGACTGTGTGTCAGCTTTGTCATCCATTTAATATGAGTAGTCGTTCCCTTTAATCTGATCTACCAGACCCCCTCCGTCATAGTAGCTCTTATTTTTCACCATTTGCAAGTGCTCATGTGGCCTGCCGCTCAGAACTCTTTATGAGGTAGTCTTCTTTTGTGCGCTAGTCCGTTCTTTCAGTCTTTCTGTCGGCCCAAATAATATTCCCTTCTGAGACTCAGAAGCCGAACGCCAGTTACGCACATTGGGTTTTGAGGGTTTGCAAAGGAAAATAGCTCACATGAATACCTAATTATTACTATATTGATATGCGTCTTTTGTCAAATAGATGAACGCGATTCTGTTCTGTGGTATAGCACAGATGTCTGGAAAATCCTCTTTACCGTTCACATATTCTGCCGATATGATTAACCTAACACGTCGACGTCGTTCTTTGGCTCGTTGAAAGTCGCTGACACGTTTTCTTTCCACACACGCGGAGACGACTGCGCTGCAAGTCCTTATCCCTGACTGAACCTTAGAAATTATACCAAAACACATTCCCTTACTATACAATGGGCGGTACGCTTCCTGTGTGGTATTGTTTCGTCTACTTTAGTTGTTAATCGCGAACACATCGAAGCGTCAGACTGCTCAAGGAGCAATAAGGCGGCGACGTGACTTGGCAAGTTTAGTAAGTTTTTATTTTTGGCAGGCTTAGTCTCGGTGAACAGAGCTAGTGAATAGCCGCGGAATTTCTTTACATATACTTGTAGGCGTCAGTCAATCGCCAGGTTTGTAGATTATTGAACACGATGCTCTGCAGACGACGCCGTTTGACGGGTGCAGAGGATGCTTTCTCATATTCACTGTGTCGTTGGTAAAGCAGTCAGCGTTCGTCAACTACGTTGCGCCGCTGGAAAGTTCGACTAGTTGGAAAAAAACAGAGTTACATTGAGTGTGGGTCGTGTATCGCTTTCTCTTTTTGGCATGGTCTTGCCGCTGCTAGTCCGCATATCGCAGCTTCTTCCGCGTGCTGCATCTTCGGCTTGAAAGCTACAACAGCTGCAACCATGACTGCTACAGCATATCATTCGTACTTCTATCTGTAGTGAGCGCTTGACATTTTTACGCGTTCGCCGTTATTGCTTAGGGTCCACAGGTAGCAAGCCACAATAGCAATAAGGAGAGAGGCGATAGCAGCAATATCCCGATGCGTACCATGAATTTTCTATAGGTTGATGTAGGGCTGATAAAAGCTCATGCAAGTGTACCGAAAAACGTTATCTCGTAGTATCGTGCTACTGCCGTCCCATATGAAGTAGTAATGCTTGATATACTCCTATATTACACTTATCGTTATCACTATTCTTGGGCTCTCGCTCTTTTTCTATCTATCTCACTGGCTTGATCTTTGTGGGCTCAGCAAAGTTAAATACTTAGGTTCTCGAGTAAAGTGGCGTATTTAGCGGGTCGGTGGCATCTTTAGGGGGCGAGACAAAACGAAGCCGTTTTGTCTCGCCCCCTAAAGATGATGAATCGTTGACCATAAAGACGCGTGTGATGGAAAAACAAATGGCGTATAATTTCAGCTTTATGTCTCTGTTTACTTAGTGCTGATTTTACTATCGACTTCTGATTTTTTTTTGTTAATTTTAATGCTATGTTTTGGTACAGAAAAATCATTTTGAGGCGTATTTGTTTTGCACACGCATTTCGGTTCATGCTTATTACTACATAAATTTACTTTTAAGCTCCCAGGTATAACAGGGAAGCTCCTAGGGAATAACATCTGCTATTCAAAGCGTTTCATTTTCGACATAAACTAAATCCAGCAACCCGATGGACAATCTACTCAAAACTTTGACGAAAAAACACTATTTCGGTGATTAGTTATCTTAACGGCGCATATAATTAAAAGCTAATTAACTTGACCTATACACTTCAATCAACTCTAGGAACGATACTTATGAAATCTATGAGTATACAAATATAGAGCCAAGATCAACGCATATTGTTTAGTGATAAGCATTACAGGGACATTGTCGTGACAACTGACACGTAAATCGTCCCAAAATTATAGGCATGGTAGCTGTTTACCAAGTGGCTCTGTTAAGGCTTTGTCATACCAACCAGGGATTACAGGCATCTGGTCAGTTGGAACACTTGTTCCAACTGAAGCCAGGCTTGAACTAAGTGATTTTTACAGACCTCTTATTTAAAGAAGAACATGGTTCTAAACATTGCTACGTGAGGCTTGGATCGGATAAAGATCTTTACGAGCGGTGGTACGATTGTTTTCTGCTTCTAATGAACACATGAAAGGTCTCACATAAACCATAAATAAATAGAAAAGAATGTAATGGCCGCTTTTTCTCTGCCGTAATTTTATGTTTTCCTTTTATCTATTATTGAAGGTAATTCTTAGAAAGATAGTCGGAACGAGTAACCCTCTTCCTACATTATGATGCACTGGACTCCTTGTGACGAAAATATCACGGCAGATTGTTTAATATCATGTAGGAAAGTCGTCATAAAATGTAATTACAGTTGATAAGTATTTCTTAATGGCTCATTTACAAGCGTCTTCAGCACTGTTCTGCAAATGTTGTCGTACCAGGGTGTCATAAAACAAGGCGTTCTTTTCGCATTTGCATTAATAGGAATATCAACAATACTTTTTAATAGAAAAATTTACATACTAGGTATGTCTTCTCATAGCAAACGCCGCTTACAAAGCAATGCACTGATAAATTGGTACTCAAATTCAATTGGACAACATAGACCATTTTTTTTTAGACACGACACGAACTACGCATCGAAGCGTTCAGAAACAGTAAAGAAGTCATATAACTTAGATTGGTCTACGGGCTTAACGGCGCGAGCCACCTTTACCCTTTCAGACGTTGAAAAATCAGATATTTTGCATGTTTTAGAAAAATATTATCCGGAACCTAAGACGATAGGCATTCTCGTAGGCGGGCTAGCCTTCTGTAGGAAATGAGCTGCGTCTACGCCCGGATTAGCCCCTAAACCACGATGAATCATTGAACTTAGCAGGCAAACACGACACCCGTTGCGCTATCACCGAAATTGAACGACCACATGTTAAACAACGCGAACAGTGGAACGTAACTTCTCCATCACTGCCTCTTAAGCAAAGTTATGAAGTAATTCTAACATTATATAGATAGTTCGAACGATAACATAATGTTGTTCCACTGAGCATTTTTGACTAGCGGCGAATATAAGAGTGATCTATTCTGCCGGAAGTAGAGCCGCTGGGAACTCTTGGGACTACCATAGTCTGGCTATAATGGGACAGTCACATTACATCAACGTAACGGGAGGGAAGCTCCTGGTCCGCTTCGAGGACAGAGATTGTCACAAGATATTATACTTCACTGCATATATTGGGCATGAACGATTCTTAAATAATACTAACTAATGAAATGAAGATGAATGGATGGTCCTTCAACAGGCTCGCCGAGTGCAGCATGTTAGTCACGGTCGTCTGCTAGTAATAAATATAACGACATTCACACTTAGCAAACAGAGCTAAACGTCAAGCAAAAATTCAATCTAATTGCAATACATTCAATTACTATATTGTTGTTATTGATCTCTCGCAATTGAGCTGTTCGATCGAGCAGCGGTATTATTAACGTAATGGACGTTTACTTACCGTGACAATTCGAAAGTAGCTAGAAAAGTTCGAGAGCTTGCAGTAGAGTCATGTGCGTCACGAATATTCGATCGACTCGAGCGTGGCAAGCGTTAGGTACAAAAATGTTTCGTTCTATTTGTCAGAGGCAACGCTGATAACAACTGCGATGGGTTACAACCCGCCTATCACCACGATGGCATCTAGGGTAGCAGTGTAGTATTCTACTACGACATTTCAATGAATGTTAGAAATATTGTCAAGGTCCTATGATCGTCACTGCATATGACCATTCTGTATTTTTAAAGTGTACCAACCAATTCTGTGGTAGCGAATTCGACCATTAAAGTCACTTATGGTTTTACATAGACAGAGCTGGTAGAACTTAACGATGGATCGATAACAGTTGAACGTTCCTTTTATTATATGACAATATATATATATATATATATATGGAATAGTTTAGCGTTCAAGCAAGGAGATTTCTACCACTAATAAACTGCTAACATGGGCGTGGACGACTCGGTGAACACGTGCGAAAAGAAAGTTACTAAAATTACATAGACAGTAGATGGCCTGCCTCCAGGTGCATTAAACGCATGCACTATTTATTTGTGGTCTGAGCTCCATAACAGATGGGTGTCGAGGTTTGTTGGATCATACGCTGGTTTTTGTAGTCGATTTGAGTTAAATTTGGGCTTCATATACTGTGGTAATATAATTCATAGATTGATCAATCATTCGATTCAATTTAGGCAACGTTAGCAGAACGTATAAAACGAGATAGACGTTCACGTTGCCGAATTTTGATGTCGTGTTGTCCGTAGCGGTCATCTAGTTCATTAACAGATCGCCAAATTTTAGCGCTCGATCGTCACATCTTCGGGATCATCAATTCAGCAATGATTACTGGTGACTGTATGTATTTTCATGCATTTCAACGTTAGCCCCCGTGTCCTTAAGGCTTGAAGTATATTGCATAATCGTTTTCTGCATTAATAACATCACAGGCCTTTGTGATGTCTGAAATAGACAGCCATAAACTGTTAAAACCTGCTTATACGTTTCATTCTTATAGTCGCACATTGTCAAAAGCTGTCACCAAACATATCTTTAAGTTCTCACTTCAGCTCGCACTTTGAATGGAAAAACATAGGGTGTCACTCAACGTGCTCGCGCATCGGCACGATTTACGCCTTCAATATTTCGAAGTAGGGTCCAGCTGAAGCAGCTACAGCGGTCGTGAATGAAGATTTACATAACAACCTTGCTTTAATTTGCGCAGCACTTTACAGGAGAGGAACACTAAGAACACTACAAGGCCACACTACTGCCCTTTCTGGTTCATCGTATCATGTTGGCAGGGAAAACTGCTTAATGAGAAAGCCCACTTCGTTGTTGAAACGAGCCAGATTCGTTTTCAATAACAACTGGCAATAATGTGGTCTAATCCGACGCCTGAGCAAAAAGGGACGTTTAAATACTGCTAAAAGCGCCACATCACGCCTTTCGCCCTCTCAACGAATTTATCGGCATACAATTTCTAGCTTATTACAAGATACAATTGAAAAATGCATTCCTCTTCCCGATAGGTTACACAGTTTACGCTGAGATTTTCTGCTAGTGTTTTACCTAAACGTCGCAAGTGACGGCTCAACAGCAAATAACAACCAGTTTTGTACAAACGTTTGGTTTTGCATTAGAAATATATAACTGTCACATCTGTTAGTGTTTAACTCCTACTTGCAGTCATTGCGACAAAGAACTTAACCGATGAGCGACAAATCAGTCAGTCAGCGGGACTTTTTTCCAGCTTATCATGGGGCAATCACTTACTTCGAATATGATAACCTTGTTTTGCGTATATATATCTGCGATAGCGGGCGATCTTACGGACAGAAGCAGGGTAAGAATTCAGCGTTTCGGCTTTGGCAGCTCAATCTACCTGAAGTCGAAAAAAGCGGGCTCCGCTTTCGAGTTCACTGCAGGCGTAGTATTTATGAGGCATCACGCACACAATTTGCCACGCTAATAATAACTCCAGTAAAATCAGGGTGCATATGCGACGTCGTACAGCTGTAGAATTGAGGAAAACGAGCTTTTCGTACCGTGGCCGCCCTCAACCTCGGCCTATTTGACTGACAAAGGAAAAACCACGCGTTAAAAAAGGAACACGATACAACACATAGCGAGCAACGCTACAAGTATCGCGCATGAAACGAGCGTATCTGATACAAGCTACAGCTAGCAGCGGTGCGGCCGATTGTTGGGTGAATAAAAAAAAAACGCGTTTACATTACGGTAAAAGGCAAAAGTCGTTTTGTTTCCCTTTTCTTTGAAAGGTGGACAGAGATCGGATGGTCTCGAATGTGGGAAGAAACAAATAAATTATTGTTAGAGGTCTGATGACCCCCAAATCTGTTTTCATAATTAAACGATATTTTAACTAGAATAAAGGTGTCTGTTCATAAGCTGTGAATCAACGTTAATTTACGATATATTAGCGCTACTGCTTTGTTTCTCTCATTGTCGAATGAATGAATGTCTTAGCGAAATCGTCGCGAAGGTGATACTTGTTAACGATCAATGTTGTAATAGGACTTCTAGTCTAAGTGGTTAGGAAGCGCTTCCCGGGCAGGTTGCTTTAAAGCGTTTCTCAAAATGATTATTATAGCGGAATAGGTTGATCTGTGAATGTATAAGATTTGGACGAGAGCCCACTTTATAAGGCCAGCTTTCCAATACAACAAAAGTATTCAGTGTTCATATATTGAAAAGCCATCCATGCAAGCACTTCTATAAAATCGGCTCCCTTAGTAATTCTTCTCTAAGCGCCTTTTTCCAGTATGTGCGATGTAAACGCAGGCTTTCTATAAATGCATGAAAACGACAAGGGAAACTATAGATATATATCTAACGAGCTTTAAAACTGCTATGTTTCGGAAGCCGAGACCTGTTTTCGAGGCACCGCAATGAGCAGTGGAAATCATTCGGGAATCCATTTCAGTATGAGTAATCGAACAGCTTGATAACGTTAAGAAGTCGTTGTCACTGAACTTCAATGATCGTTGACGGACTCAGCGGGTCTGCGTAGTGCACGGACATATTCGCCTACGAGATAGTTCGCTGCAACCTTTGCCATCGTAAACATTGCGAGCTACTGTTACAATATTTCTATTATCTTATGTGTGCTTATGCTGGAAAAATTATTGTGACCGAAGGTAAAAAAATAAAGACACATAACGTTCGATGTATCCGCTGGTTGCAGATTCACAAAAATATCTCAAGTGATCTGACACATACAAACAAATAAATATTTTCATAAATTAACGATGCAGTTTTTTTTTATGTAATAGTTCACGGTCCGGGCCGTTTTTCTAAAAGCTAACATCTGAAGTGATGTTAAAATTTTCAGCAGTGCAATAGTGCCCGGTAAGTTCTTCTCATAAGATGCACATCCCTAAATCAGTAGCCAAAAATTAAACGAATCCCTTATTCAAACAATCGCATACAAGCCCATAAACAATTATAGGATGAGCTAGTTAACAGGTTATTGTAACACCTAGTTGCAGCAATACTTGACTTAGTTAAACACCACAGTAAGCCTAGTTCTGCTTTTTCAATCGATAGTTTTGAGCCTTATCTACTGCGTTAATGTCGAATGCTGACCTCGAATAGGGTGCAAGCGAAACTATCACGACTAAACAGACTCGCACCTTTCAAAAGCCGCGCCAGACTCATTCTTACCCCACTCCCCCATCACTCTTGGTTGGCAAGGCTATCATCAGTGCTAGCGCTAATGCACTTCGATGTATCACAGCGCACTCAATTACTGTATCAAATCTTTTGATGTTCCATTTCGTCTAGCCAAAACTGTTGACTAATTACGTGGTTGGCTCGCCGGCGTAGCATGTAGGAGCAAAGTGTCAAGTATTGGCCTGCCATTGTTACTGCTGCAGCTGCTGTCGCTTCTTCCTATCGTTATCGGCTGTCTATGTCGCTACCGCTTGTCTTGCTGTTCCAGACAAGGGCGCTTCCTCTGACTTGTCGTACAAATATCAACTACGAGATGTACGGATGGCAGTGGCAGTTGTTGCCATTGCTCTCCGACCGATAGATGCTCCTCTAGCAAGAGCAACAACAATTGAGTGGCCCATTCGTTGGCAGTGTTTACATCAATGACAGGCTGATTTTGATGTTGACGTTGGCCCAACGTAATCGCTTTGATGGTAATAATTCGACGAAGTACGCTGACGGCCAGGAGCAGTAGCAATGATAATAAGTGAGGGACTGCCCAAGATTAGGAGCATTTAAAACGAGATTTTCAAGGGAAAAAAACAAGGAGAGTTTTAGACCTTGATGAAATGACTGGATAACGATGAAACGAGCCCCATCTCTAGCTCAGTCGTCAGTATTAGTCTTTACAAAGCACGGGGCAGCAAATATAGCTAGATGTGACTGGAAACACAAAACGTTCGAGAGGCGCGTAGTGGACTAATATTAAAGGAACGACCCTTCTGATCGGCTTCGTCAAACGTATACATCAGACACTAGCAGTAAATTCGACAAGAATGATATTCTACTGGATGCGCACTACTATAGTAAGCAACCGTTAGAAATTGACGTTCTATGGGTCTCTGCAAAATGAAAATAACCCAACACAGTCCATCTTCTGTATTCGTCTGTGTAAGCTTGTATCGAAACTCAACCAGTATAATCATGAGTGGACTTCAACGAAAATACTATCTTACTTTACGCTATACACTTACCTGGTAGACTAGAATCTTTACCACTATATTTTAAAACTGATATGCGCGTTGGTCAAAGTGAAATAGAAATCTCAAATTTGGCCATGTATGCTTGTAGATTAGATAAATATTTATGTTCAGAGTAAAAATGTTTCAAATGTCATCGTCAACAAAACAGCAGGAAACGGTTGTAGAACTTGAAGAAACAAAAGTGCTATTCTCTTTATTTGACATATGTATACACATCTGTGTTCTGCTTTTTTCGCCTATAATTTTCTAATAAATAGCTAGTAGAAGCTTCACTAGGCGTGCGTGTTATCGCCTTTCCTGCCACTTAGCCCAACAAAAAACCGATAAAATTTACCGCGCCCTTAGGTGCATATGTTTTTCGAGTTCAGTGAATAAACACGTCATCGCTACATCACTACAAGGAAGTATCTGTCACAAAACATTTCTACCGCGTAAAATCATGCCCGTCAAACGAACGGTTCATATTTAATCAAAAATTTACACTTTTGCCAACCATGAAAAACTTTTACCCCAGTCGAATAAAAGTATTTTGATTACAGCCACAACCTCCCTAGTTAATGGCCTATACTAGTGTTAAAGGACAAGCAGCATTATTACCTTATCGAGATTTGAGATTTAATAGATAATTGTCGATATAGTATCATAGATCTCATCAAACTGATCCAAACCTATCCAGACTACACTGTTATGTTTGGAATAGTTGGGAAAGTTAAAACGGATAAAATCGCTGTGCGAACTTCGTAAGTTATGTTGAAACAATACCTACGATGAATGCAGCAGCGAGAGGCCTACAACCGCTTCGTAGAAGAAACCAAGCATATAGCAGAGTTCAGTCCTATATGGAAGTTGTTCTCAAGGTTGCTATAGTAAGATCGAAATTTAGCAAAATCAATATAGATATTTCAATTTTGAAAATAGAATACAGCAAATATGTATTCCTTTAACTTAAATATCGTTACTTTGTCACAGAACTTTGTGTCCTGTGCATGTATATTGTCACTAGGTGGTACAGGTGGGGGGTCTAAATCGGTGGGCGGCACCCGGATACTTTTAAATCGGGAACCAATGTATTAATTGTCATTCGGTTTTATTTACTAAGTAGATTAATATTGAATAAGACTAAAAAAAAAAAAGCCATTGAGCCAAATACGCAGAGAATGTTTAAATGAGTGACATTGTTTGCCTCTGTTTACCGGAAGAACAATCCCCCGATAGATCTGTCGCAGACGTTAACGACGCTATCGCGACACGCCATCGTTGAACCCTCAGCGATGTCAAAACAAGCCTGTAGTAGAATAGGAAGATAAACGCATTCCCGAACCTACACTTGTGCCTCCTTTTCGTTGCTGGCAATTCGTAGCATGTTTGTTGAGCACCAAATGTTCCAAGTGTGGGATCGTCATTTTGTCATTCACAAACTTTCTTGAGAAGTGTAGCACATGCATAACTGTTGTCGAGTCCATCTTTAAACGACTCGCCTTTGATATGTATAATAGTTCGAAGTCTTTTCTTTTCCCTGATTTCTCTGTACCACAACCTGCTTACTATATCATAATCGTTACGTTTTAAAAGGCACCCTCAATCATCAGCCTACGCCACAGTTCAGCAACTAAACAATGGTGAAGTTCTGGCGGAGGAGGCTCGGCTTAGTGATAAATCCTTTCATACTATAAGAGATATATGGTTCATGTACCTGTGCTTCTATCAGAAGAAAACATACAATTGTTCACCTGTATTTTCTACCTTGTCATTAACTATCCGAGTAAACGATTTAGCAGACGTAGTCTTGACGAAGAAGCAATTAGCAGTTAGGTGTTCTGTCACTTATTGTATTGAGTCAGAGTATTTCTACAGACAAACTGATGTGTGATTTTTTATGAAACTATTTATTCTGTGCTTCGCGCAAACGAAAACGTTATTAGTAGTAGAGTCCGCTCGGTAATCCTAACCCTTCCCATTTTTATAGTTACCTCTATATCCTAGACCCGTAATCTCTCACACGTCCTTTCTCTACTTGTCTTAGAGAGAATAGATTTATTTTGGCTCGCTCGCAGCCTTAGCAAAGTTGCTTATGCCTGGAACGACGTAGCCGACTATACAGTTACATGTATTCGATTTAAAATCTCTAAAGTAAATATTTCCATACGAACCAAACAGTCCAGCACTTACTTCATACAATTTCCCCGTAAGATCAGTCAATACGGCCGTCGAATAACGACTACATCTCAATTTTGAAGCAAATACACAGATGTGCATGCCTCCAATAATGAACCAATCTACGTAGGCAACCATGTATCACTACTAAATATTCCGAATGCACCTACTCTTGTCTGACATTGGCGTTTCCGCCTCACCTAACCTCCCTTAACCTTTCCTGTCATCCCGTTCGTTCTTTCAATCTATCGCTCTTTCGAGTACTCTGCGAGTCGGCCGAAGACGCAGCTGCTGCAGCGATCATCTCTAACAAGTACGTCCGTACACGGTTATCCGCGGCCGCTGAAAGCGAAGTAAGCTTTGCATGCGTGATCTTCCCTGATCGCGATAATGATCAATACTCATTCCCTGCGGTAGCCTGGAAGGGTTGAGGCACCCCAGTCAATGGATGCGAATGACTTCTATCAGTAGCCAGATGTGTGATTTGGAATGTAAATTTTGAGCTAAAGCTAACCTCAAGAGGGAGACGAGGAGTAGCGTTAGAACCCGCTGCCTGTTTCGTATTGTAGTGCGACCAGAGTAAATTACCTGTCGTCGACAGTATGCACATTAGATATTATATCTGATCGCAATGAAGCCTATTGTTCGATGATGAGAAAAACAACGATCTCTGCAAGTCGCCTATTAACGCGGATGCAAGCTGGGAGAAGGACTGTGGACACTAGCTGAGGTTGGAAAATCAATAGAGTAAATAAACGGCTCGTTTTTTTTATACGTGATCACGTAGCACCAATATAGAGTTCATTCACGGTGCTCAATTAATAATGACCGACATGGAGCGCAAAGGCGAACTCGTTTTCAACGCTGGCTAATTAGGGCCACTATGAGATTAAGGACTACAAACTACAAAGAGATACTGGAGAAAGTAGGGCAAACTCATTAAGTTCATTGATGACAGTGCTTCTAGACTTATCCGGACAAACGGATGAAAAGCGAATAAGTAATTGTACGGCGTCAATACTTGCTTTAATACTGTCAGACAAGGAAGTCGCTTGATGTGAGTATGTACGGCCGAAACGTTACGACAAAGCAACAGGAAGAACAACTCAGAAATAGTGGCTATTCGTTCGAGACACTATCGCAGGTAGAATTTTTACTTCAAACCACTTTCTTAATATACATATATAAATAGCGATT